CAAGATGACAGGACGAATACCTACGTTTCTTCCTGAACCCCCCCCCCAAGTCCTTCCCTCTGACAGATACCGCCTGCTCCAGGCTCTCCTTCTTTCTCTTCCCTACTTGAATTTAAATGAACAAGCTCTGTCCATGCACCATCTTCAGCTGCTACTCCAGAACAAGTCACAGATAAAAGAAATGCCCGGACCAACTGATGTGTGCTGTTGTGCTCAGACAGGCACAGCCCTCTTTGCCCTCATGACAGCCCAGACACAAGGCATGGGCAGTCATCATCAAAGACTGTCCTGGTTTTCGCTTTGGCCTCTGGCTGTATTGGACCCCAAGTGTACGGCCTGGGCCATTTTATGAGCAATAAACTAACACCTCTCTCTACCACATAAGCACCAACACGGGAATCTGAGCTTAGGGTTAATTTGTGGATGCAGGGAGCAGGGCTGAGGATTGGCACAGGTTTTAACCCGACCTCTATCTGGGCTGCCCACAGATAATCTAGAGATCATCTCCATTCCCACTCCCGACTCTGCCATGTCCATACCTGGCAGGGAGGAAGGGCTTCATCACCACTGACAAACATGCTTCCTCACCTTCATGGACTCCTTTCAGAGCACTGTTGAATGACATCATCACCAAAAGGAGCCAAAGTGATCCACACAGGTGGTTAACTCTCCACAGGTGGTTAACTCTCCTACAAACCAGGCGTAGGAGGTAGTAAAATCATGAAGGATGAGAAACTCTTGTGCCTTTTGAGGTGAGGACTGATGTGCTCAAGCTTCCCGGCTTGCTGCTGCTAGCTGGCCAGAGGTGCTGCGGCTTCGTGACCACAGGGTAGATGTGCAATGGTGACAGCAGCAGCGAGAAGGGGCCAAGGAGGCGGGAAAGAGGGCAGAGATGGAAAGCCAAGGAGGGAGAAGGTCTGGTGCTGAGGTGGGATAAGGAGGTGGGGAAAGGCTGTAGCTCCAGACAAGAATGATTTTCACTTCTCTGGTGACTTCAGTAGGCTCAGGACCCAAAGTGGCCACAAAGCATTGAACAGCCAGCCTAGCATGGACACAACAATCGTGCCAGCCTGTATCCTCCTGGCACTGCAGCTCCTGCCATGGTGGAGGTAACACCTTGAAGCTTGTGAGTGTCCAGTGACAAAAACTAGGCTACACCAGCCAAGGAACAACAGGTCACAAGAGCCCCTAGCCAAATCTGCCCAGATGTGGCGGCCTAAGTTTTGTACCAAATGTTCTGAGCTTTAACATGTGTTAGCATCTCTTCTTTCTAATAGCTTTCCCTTGTGTTTCTTCTCTTCCAGCACCGAATGTGTGATTCAGTGATGCATTAACCTTTGTGTTTGATTCCTGATCTGCTGTTAAAATCTATGTTAATTCCTTAGAATCTCACAATTTTTTCCCCAAGCAAATTCTGAGCAGTTCTGGGATTCCTGTACCCACAGACGCAGTAGGTAGCTAACATGGTCTGCTCTCCAACAGCTCAGGCTGCATGAATGGTCTAATTAACACCTCATCAAACTCAACTGTTGGTTGTGTCTGGAGAAATTCCCTCTTGCACCTGTGCATTCACGAGACACCATTCCTAGCCTCCCGCACAGCAGGCCTCAGCCACCGGAGCAATGCTCCATCACTGCAGAGCCCATCCTTACATCGGCAGTAGTGGCCCTGGTCCAGTCTCCAGGACTTGCCAGCCCAGAGTGACTCTGATATGCTCTGTGGCTGCTCTGAGCCTGTGCACTGTGCTGGGTAGTGCAAGAGCTTGGGAGCAATAACTCAGCAGCGAAGAGTGTGCAAAGCCCGTGCTGCTGCATTTCAGGCAGGGCTCTCCTGCCCTCACCATATCCTACCTCTGCCATCAGCGAGTGCATAGGTTTCACCCAGAACAGCTCAGTGTCAGCGGCTGAAGGACAGCCTTTGCAGCGGGACAGTGTGCAAACACCCCTAACATGCTGCAAGCCCTCAGGTGCCTGATCTGCGCTCATCATCTAGCCTCTCTAGCAGACCCCAGAGAAAGGCGGCACCCCAGGAGAGGTTCAGGCCCACCCTGTCCTGGAGGACAGGCCCTAAGATTGGGGCAGAATGGCACTGGAGGAGTCTGGTGCACAGCAGAGAGCAACATCCAATTCATACAATCATAGAATGGTTTGGGTTGGAAGGGATCTTAAAGACCATCTAGTTCCAATCTCCCTGCCATGGGCAGGGACACCTTCCACTAGACCAGGTTGCTCAAGGTCTCATCCAACATGGCCTGGAACACTTGCAGGGATGGGGCACCTACAACTTCTCTGGGCAACTCAGAGTGAAGAAATTTGTGTTGACACTACCATTACTGCAGGACAAGGTTTAAACATAAAGAAAAAGTTTAGCTTGGTTGCTTGAGATAACAGTTAAACAATAGACTACAATGTTTGGAACACAGAGCATAAAACATGAAAATGTGATTTTAGGCAATACTTCACAATAAGACTTTTCTCTGAGTGTTTCAGGACCTCAGGTAACTCTAAAGGCTTTCCCTGGAGAACATCTAACACCAGCTTCTACTGTTGGAGATCACTTGCTGGGCCTTGCTGAGCTCTCCTTTCCCATTGCATCTCACTTCTCTCATTTCCCCCACGAAAACCTACTTTCTCACTTTGTGTAACAGGGCACTGCTTGCCTGGCAGACTACTCCACCTGTCCCATCCTCTGTGCTGGAGTGCCTCATCTCTCCCCTCCAGCCTTACTTAACACTTCAGTCATAATCTTCCACTCAGCATATCTCTTCCTCCTTGGTTGATTTCTACTGTTCATCACATTTTTTAAAGTAAGAGCAAAACTTTGCAGATTTTGCATCATCAGGACTATTAACTGCACATGCTGTATTCATTCTGGAGCCTTTATCCTCCTGTGAGCACTACATAGATCGCTCGTGGTGGTCTAGCAAGGCAGACAGTAGGCTTGCCATTGAGTGCACCTTCCTAAATCCCTTCTCTCTCCTGCTTGCTGGCTGTGTGGTGCTCGTTCAGGATCCCCAGAGGCATGTCCTGGCTGTGACAGCCCCACACATGTGCTGAGGCACATCCCATTGACCAGTTCCATGATGCTTCTGCAGAAGGCAGAGCTCTCAGCAGCATTAACCGAGTACTGGAGGGACCTCAGGGACCAGCTGGGAATAAAGCTCAGGCTGTCAAGCAGCTTAGGCACTGGGCTTTATTTGTTTGTCCTTTTGCAACTCCATTTCCAAATACTGCGAATGAGCATTTAGCCCTTTGTGTAATCAGACTTGTTCCTCCTCTTTATGCCCTGTCTGATAACAATGGGGTCTTCATGCAGAAAGACAGGCAGGTCTTTTCTCCCAGGACCCCATGGGCTGTAAGGTCATGCAGGCACGTGCCGCCTGCTGTGAGCTGCAGGCACCAGGGTTTGGTGGGCAGGACACAAGGTTTCTCCATGGGAGAGAAAAATCACTTCGGGTGCCTGTGGACCAACATCACCCTGGCAGGAAGGGATGATAGCAGAGAAACAGCATAGCACATAGCTTGGAGAGCTGGCACGCTCCTTACAGCTATTTCAGACCAGTGTGGGGGTCTGGAGAGCCCCCATCATCCTGTCACCAGGGCTGTTCAAACCCTAACTCTTACCTACCTTCCCTTTCATTCAAGATGGTGTTTCTGCCATCCTCTCCATCAGATTGTACGCTACAGCCTCACTCCTGGGGTTGCTGTCAGTCAAAGCACAGCTCCAGCAAGGCAGAGTCGCTGGACCACCCTGGCCGTGCGACTCAGCTCCTCCGACCCCTCTTCCCTGGGACCCAGCTGCAACGCACGAAGGGCAAACGCAGCAGTAGGACTTCCCTTCCTCTAAGAGCTTCTTGGCTCTCATCTCTGTTGTTTTCCTTACTCAGCCCGCTCCTCCCGGCGCTAATA